GGCCACGGCGCAAAACAAGAAGGCGGTTAATCTTACCAAGTTTGAGGCGCCTGTTTCCCGCCTTCAGTGCCTGCTCGAGCCTGCCACTCATTAGTTTCACACGTATGTCAACTCATGTCTTCTGCGCTCCTATGAGCCTCGTCGCTATATGCGCAATGTCGCCCATGAGCGCGCGAATTCTCAGTCCGTAGTGCTGGTCGTTGATCGGGCGTTGAGTATCATTGACCTGCTGCCCTGCCTTTCCCCTCGCCCCCTTAAGTCATCTCGTTGCGACTGGGTCGCAACAGTCGTTGAAAATTCTCGGAGCGAGGGCGAAGCCAATATGGGCGCTCATGTTGCTGGAAAAATCCATTTGCTCGCTGGAGGCTTGGATGGGCAAAACAAAAGCCCCATGGCCCTGCCTGCAAAAATGTAAATCGTGGTTATCGGTAGTGCGATCAATTTGATCTCGAAGTAAGCTTCGATCGGTCGTCGCCAAGGCGTTGGCGCAGTCGAAATTCCCCATGATCAAGGGCCGCCCTGCCTGCTCACCTCTCCACTTCGTTGCAAGCAACACTAGTGCTGCATTATCCCGCTGCTTGCGAGTTAAGCCTCCGCGTGCAGAGCGAGGTCGTGATATAGGAAAAGCTTTACGGTGCATCCCACTATGCCATGCCATACTTGCCGCGCAATGCGCGCGCATTCTTAGTTTGCCTGCTATTCCCCCTTCACTGTTTGACTTCTCCGCTGCGAAACTACGGGGTCGCAGCGCATCTGATGGCATCGCTTGGCACCGCCTAAAATGCACGAGGATCTGCAGTGGCATCTTCGAGGCTTCAAACTCTAGATCCGCGAAGAGTGGCATCCCCAATCCTGCGCGTTCAGCTCCCCCAAACTGCCAGCGTGGGTCGTCAACTATCTCTCGTGCTGGTTCGCCCCTTGCTCGCTGTTGTGCTCCCATCGTCTCTCCTGGGTTCCATCGCATCTTCTGCAACAGCTCTTTCTTTCGGCTAATGGGTAGTGGGTGCCGTGCTTTTCCATGCCTTATTCGTCTTCTTTTTTTCAGCAGCTAGGAATCTTCTCGCTTCCAATCTTCTAGCCCCAGCATCCGGGTCTGCCAAAGTAGCGCTCGGCCCAATCAGCGCCCGCGCAACTTCTACCGAGAGCCCCCAGGCAGGACCCAGGGCGGAAAAGCTCGCGTTCTCTTTGCTTTCCCAGAGAATGTCTTCATGGCCCAAAGATCGCGATCTACTCTATCTAGAGCGGAGGTCAGCATCTGGCTGCAAGAATCTGGGAGAGTCGCCGTCATCGCGCTCGCAGTCCTCTGCGTAATCCTGCCTGGTCTTTTCCCGGCACACAGGTGCGCAAGCCAGTCCGCCCTCGCGCGGTCCCGCCCCAGCTCTTCTCTCAACTGCTCACCCGACCAGTGACAGCGGTGACTGTAGTAGAATCGTTCCTTGGGAATCCCCCCGTTCCTCTGATGCCCCACTCTGAATCTGCGAGCATCTGCGAATCCCTTCTCCTTGTGAGCCTCCCAGGTCTCTCTGGCCATGCCTTCCCATTCCGCTGCGACATGCGCTCCCCTTAGCTCCTTCAGAGCTGCCGTCGGCCTTTTGCACTCCCCCATCCCCCTCCACCCCCGCCTTGTGCGCCGCCGACCCTTCGCCCTGAAGCCCCTCTCGCAACTGCCTCCTCTCCTCCGAGAGCTGCGTTCCCCGAGCGCACGCGCTGCTGCGCGCGCTGCCCGCGCTGCGCGCCCCTTGCCGGAACGCGCTGCGCACCGCCTCTTCCGCGCGCCCCGCGCGCTCCAGCGCGCAGCTCTATCCAGATAGCTCATGGTACCATTTTGCATATGCTCATCCATATTGGCGGACAGCTCTTCGCGCTCAACACCTTCTTGCGGGCGCCTCATCGAGCGCCTCTGATATGTCTTGTCCGCGGCAACTGTCGGGCGCCCGTGGTTAGCAACTGACATATCCACGCGGATGCCGACTGGAATGCGACGTTGGAATCTCACGTCTGGCAACTATGCAGCCGCTTGGCGGCTCTATAAAGGCAGCTGCATTGAAAGGCGAGTGGGGCGGCACCGACAGGGGCAGCCACGTGGTCGACGCGCGACTCTCGCCCCTGCGGGCCGTAATAAATAAGCCGATGCTCAAAGAAAGTCGCCGCCACAGCCAATCCGTTTTTGTGGCAGAATTCTCCGCGCGCCCGCCCGCTACCATCTTCAAAATTCAAACTTTTACCCCCTGGCGATGCACTGCGCGCGCGCTGCACGGTGCCGTCCTCGTCTCTGCGCTAGCCCCCTATCGTGTCCAGCTGATTATCAATCCGCTCAAAGACACGCTCTGCAATCATATTATGCTCGCCGTCACTCATGGGTGCCAGATAAATGCAGAATCCGGAGACATCATCATATTTCGTCTGGTCGCGAATAACTCCTGCTATTCCTCGTAGCTGTGCATCCTGCATGAAGACTGCGTGCAGTGCTCTGCTCGGTATACGATTGTGCATCATTGTGCTCGCATCACAGGCCGCAGACACTAGCTTCCCCTTCCTTTCTCCAGAAAAGTACTGCCCAATGCCGCGCGTGTTCATGCTGCTGTATTCCGCGATCTGGACGGGCGGTCTGATACATGCCTGCTACGAGAACCACAGCCCACGAACTGAGCTCACTCGACGTGTTATCATGCCTCTCGTGCGCAGCGGACAACGGGCTGCACGTGCGCGCGCGCATGAGAGAGCACTGCAACAAACAGATCGCGCATGCAGCGCGCCCCCTGCGGCGGGGGGCATGGGGCGCAGCATCCTCGCTCCGGAGCGGGGGGGGCCCGCCCCTGGAGCGGGCCGCCCGCGGGCGCTGCGCGTCTGAGGCGGCTGCCGAGGGGGTGGGGGGGGGGCAGAAGAGGAGGACCAAACTCGCTATAGGCTTAAGGGGTGCCCGAACCAATATTTTCGCTCACGCTCTGCGCCGCGCTACCCACGGCGCTGCCTCCCGACTCGCGCGCGCGCCGAGCGCAGTGCGCCAGCAGCTCCTCAGGAGGTCGCCGACGCAACCGCGCCTATGCACCGCTGTCCTCAAAAGGGCCGGGCCTGCTCTATGCAGCGCGGGCTTGTCTCGGCCCAAGAGCCGAAAGCCGCATTCCGATGGCCAGCTCGCGAGCCGCGGGGGCCGCAGCTCACGAGCCGGCGGGCCCAGCGCCGAGGCCGAGCGAGATCAAGATCCCGCGCGAGCCGTGCCGAGGCCGAGCGCGATAAAGATCCCGCGCGAGCCTCCGGAGGCTTCGCGAGATAACGACCCCGCAAAGCGCCCCCTCCCCAACGGGCTGGCTCAAGAGCCGCGCGCCCATGAACAGTTCAAGAACTGATGGCTCAGATAATGGGCGAACGAGGAGGCGATCCCGCGCGATTCCCCGCAGCTGCGCAGTTGCCGTCAGCGCCGCCGTTGCCGCCCCGCTCAAGAGTGGATGGCGGTCGGAGAGGGGGGGGCCAAAATAGACTATGGAACGCGCTGGCACGCGCGCGTGAACAAACGAGCATGCAAGCATGGGAATATTGTTCACGCTCTGCGCCGCACTACCCGCGGCTCTGCCTCGCGCGTGTGCCGAGCGCAGTGTGCCAGCAGCTCCTGAGGAGGCCGCCGACACAACCACGCCCTTGTACCGCTGTCCTCAATAAGGCCGGGCCTGCTCTATGCAGCACAGGCTTGTCTCGGCTCAAGAGCCGAAAGCCTCATTCCGATGGCCAACTCGCGAGCCGCGGGGGCCGCGGCTCGCGAGTCGGCGGGCCCGGGGCCAGGGCCGAGCGAGATCAAGATCCCGCGCGAGCCCCCAACCACCCCGCGCGAAGGCCGACGCACCGCGCTGACCCCGGGCTGCTTGCGCACGTTGGCATTGCCGCTGCTGATACTCTCTGTAGTCCGCAATGACGGTCGAGAGACACTGCTTGGCCTTCTGAATTCGACGATCGGCCCAGCTCGGAAGACATATCAGGCCAAGTTCAGCCGTGGCTTGATCTATGCATTGTCTGGCAGTGCGTGGATGCAACCAACGTCCGAGCACTCGACTTGCGTCGTAAGTACCATACTTGTCAAAAACCAGGATGCACCGCCCCTCCGGAGGCAATGTGGGGTCAAGAATTCTGCCCGCAAACCGACGCACGACGCAAGGTCCTGGATATCGGACCGAAGTTCGCGACAGACACCAGGATAAATCCGAGTATTGGCGTCCATGGAGGGAAGCACAACTTGAGCGAGTTGAGGAACACCCCGATCGTATACGAGTACCTGCTCCAGGACATTCGCCCTTTCGGCGCCCCTGGAACCCGGGAGAGATACGAAGAGGCGCGCGCCACCTCCGCGCACCGACAACTGTCGAGGGACAAGGCCAAGAACTTCCCTGACCTCGAGAGGCCGACGAAGCCCAATAGGAGGCAAAAAAAACAACCATGCCCTTTTTCTGCAGCAGAGCCACGGCAACCATGCCCAAAAGGATATCTGCTGGAAGTGGGGTGGCCCGAGTGCGCCGTACTGTGCGTAATCAGTTTTTCTTGTACAATTTTGTAATATCTAGCGATCGCTGGCACCTGGGAAAGAGGCGCTTGAGCCCGCTGACGAAGTCTGTTCCCCAGTACTGTGGCCGATCGTCTTGATACAGGTGGTTAATGTATTCGCCCGCAACCATGTCAAGGTCCCGCAAGGGGCCGGGAAGTTCGATGCCGTGCAGCTTCATGTATATGAAGAATTATATGATAGCCTGTCTGTGCCGCGTCAATGATGCAGCCTGCACGCCGACGCATTTGAGGTGAGCTCACTGGACGCGCTGGCGTCTAGTGGGCGCTCTCGTCATAGCTCGTGCCAGGGCGCCCGCTGGCGCCGTCCGCGTGGTTCCAAGAACTGACGGCCCAGAGAGTCATCACGCAAATGTCAGCGGCGAGAGCAAACGCAGCATAGCGCCTGCGTAAAAGATTAAGCAAGCGAGAAGACGAACGCCCTTCTGCAACAGTGCAAGAAATGGCACGGCCATCAGAAACGTGGAAGAAGCGCTTCACGTGGAAGTCGACGGAGCCAGCTCTGCTCCGAACGAAAATAAGGAAAGCTGCTAATTCTAATGCATTGATGTGTTGCGTCTGTGCCCGCTGGTAGGCCTGCGCCTCTGTCCAATCCCATGCAAAGGCCGGGTATGGTATTGCCTGCCTGCGCCCCTCTACCAGCGTCTGGGTCATCAGGTGCACGTCGGCGCCCTGGTAGTCAGCGGCCCGAGCCATCGAAGTAAGATGTTCGAGTTCGCCACCGGCGCGCATGGACTCCAGAAGCATGGAGATGTCCTCCGCGACCGTAGCTGCCACTTCTGGCCGAGCTAAACGCGCCGCTGCCTTGGCCAGAGCGCGGGGGGTCCACCGGGGGCGCCGAGAGGGCGCGAAAGGCAAGCATTGGCTGGCCCACTCGGCAGGGGCGTCTCTGACCACCCCGGCGCAACGGGCGCGCGCGCCCGACTGGAGACCCTCGCCCAGCGGCGAGGCGCGACGAGGGCGATGACGGAAATGCCAGTGCCATGGAAATGACATGTCGCCCCGGCTGAAAAGGTCAACGTGCAACGCCTTGTGGGGGGCCTCGCAGTAGCGGAGCAGACGGGCGTCGGTGGCCTCCAGCCAGTTTGCGGGGCTACCTGGAACAATAGCGAACCAAATGCCAGACTGGAAATATAACTCTTTCGCAAGGCCGATGCCCCAATCCCACTGGCCGAGGGGGCACTGCGCGACAGCGAAGCCCCAGTTGCGCAGTCTCCACCTCAAGCGTTCCAGGACGAACAAGACAAAACTCTGCGAGGGGCCTCCTCGCGAGCGACATGGGCCCCAGTGCGCAAGCGCCACGCGCGGCCCGTCGAAGTCGAGGGCGGATGACTGCGAATGCCTCAGGGACGGACCGGCCATGTGCGGCTGTAAGATTTTCACTCCTGCTGCAGCAACGGCCCGCGACAGCAGTGGGCGAGCCCCAATAAACCCTTCTCCGAACGTTGGCAAGGGCAATCTGTGCACAGGGCATTCAACAAGAGGTTCAGCCGCAGGCATCTCTGCGTAGGCCACTGGTTCGGGATCAGCGCCGCCGCGCAGGTGACCGAAGAGGCAGTCCAGCTGGCAGAACCGACGCCCGCATTTCGCAGGGCATGGAACAAGCACGGGGCTCGTAGTGCAACACGCTGAGCAAAGACCTTTAGGAGGTGAGGCGAAGCCTGACTCCTCCATCACGGCGCACTCCCAGCCTTCCACCTGCTCGGCGCGATTGCTATCCAGGGCTTGGGCAAACTTCCGCGCCTCCGAAGCGCCTCCTCCCGTTTCCGAAGCGTCGATCGCGCTGATGGTCTTCCTGATAGGGGCGCGGAGGGAGGTGAACGTGAGGGGGATCAAGGCGCAGCAGACGAGGAGCTCGTCCCAGACCTCGCTCGGAGGCTCGATCAACGCGGACCTGCCCCACGCGTCGGCCGAAAGGAAAGTGAACGCATTCTGCAAGGTGGAAAAAATAGGCCGTCTAAACTTAGCACCGAAACAAAATGTACCTGCCCAGTGCTGTAAGGCAGCCTGCGCCCACTTCTCTTGGGACAGAAGAACGGCGGTCTTCAGAATGAGGCGCGCGGATTTGTCCCCGGTATGGCGGAATACGCCGCGACTGCCGTCCAGTTCCCCGCCGAGGATCGCCGCGCGGACGCCGCAGACAAGGCTCTTCCTGACGTTCAGCGGTAGGCCGAGCTCCTTGCACGCCTGCGCAAACCGCTGACGTTCCGCCGAGCGTTCCGGGATGCCTGCGCCGTGCCTGCCGCCGATCACCTGGGCGTGGCGAATAAAATCAAAGCCGTCCAAGCATACCAAGGAAATGTCTACCTCCGGGATGGGCTGGTCCTTCCGGAGCTCCGTATTCCGATGCACGCCGCCGAATTGGAAAACATACCGCCTGGCCATGGCCTGCATGACGTCCACGGCGCCGAGCCAACCCATAGGGGCCGAGCGAATGTAGACAAACGCCAGTTTGTGAGGATCCCCTCCGAAAGCCGACTCGGCGACCTGCTTCTCATAAGCGAAATAACATGCCCAGGCGTCCGGCATTCGGAACAAATTGAAGCAGGATTTCATGTCTTCCGAATCCGTGACGAGGATGTCGTCCTCCCCGAAGATCAACAAGTTCAGCTAGTTCAAATGCGGCAACATCGACGAGTCCCCCGAGAGTTTCCTGAGGTAAGGGTTGATGCCCGTAAATGCGCTAATAAGCCGGAGATACGTCACCAACTCGCCGTTGACCTCCTTGACTTGTCCACGCCCATAGCGCCGTTCAGGACCATCTCGCCGTTGACGCCCCTGAACATGTCCTCCGCGGCGACCTGCCCGAAAATGCCCAACTTGGCCCCGGCCGCAACACGTTGGTACCATTCGTCATCGCTGGCGTGGTTTCTCAGCCTCGGCGCAGCCCGGGGCCAGTCCACCTCCGGCAAGAGGCACCTGGCAGGATCCAGGATGTCCTCGCGAAGCTCCCCGACGACGAATTCCTCTACCGGGAAGAGACGCGCCTCCCCGTCCGAAGGCCATGTCGGCAAGACCCGATCTGCAATCAGCTCGCGCCTCCGCGATACGGATTCGCCCTGGTAGTTGACGCGTTTGTTACCAAGGTCCCTGGATACGGCATCGGAGTCGAACTTCTCATCGGCGGCACTGAAGAGGTCCGCGGAAGCAGTCCAAATATGATCCAATGTCCGCTCTTGTGCCTTGCTCAGAATCGGTTGGCTATAACAGCAAATTGGGGTGGACGTCCACCCTGCGCACGCGAGGAAGTTCAAGGCAGCGAGACACATGTTCGCAGCGTCGCTGATCGCACCGAACGTCTCGGAACGACCTCCGAATCCACGGGAGGCACGCACCCGCTCGTCCAAGTACGGCTCCCCCAACTCAGGATTGATCGGTAAAAGTTCCCGCCTATTGGTGGAGGGCGAGGCGCCCGAAGCGTGGGTAGTGTGGCCTCGGTCTTGGCGGTTGGCGGGCCGAATGCCGTCCGACGTAGGTGAGCGGCACATGCGGCCTGACTCCTGCAGGAACGCCCGAAACTTCCCAAACCGGGTCTCGCTGCCCCGCGCTGCGCGCGCCAGCGCCGACGTGACCTGGCGCACGTCGGTGCGGAGCGCGCCTCTGAACTGGGCCCGCGCCTCCACACGTAGGCCTTGAAACCCTGATACTGTCACCTCCCTGACCAGTCGCTGGACTTCCCCTTGCTGTTGTGGCCCTTCCCCTTCGATTTGCTGGCAGCCCACGGGTCCTGCTTTCCCTTGCCTTTCGTGCTGTGTGCCCCGGACTTCCAGGAGTCGCTCCCGTAGGTCGGCCAAGCGCCCTTGCCACCCAGCCGTCTCTCCAGGGCAACCTCGCGGACCGCCTCCAGCTCCTCCTCCTTGTCCACCAGCGTCGCCCCCTCGGGATCCACCAGCTCCAGCGGCTGGGCCTTTTCCCAAGTCCCGTGGGTGGACGCCAGTCCGAGGGCCTTCAACCGCTGCGCTAACACATCTGCCGCTGTGCGTGTGCGGCCCAGTGCCAGGTGGTCGAGGGCCACGCACACCGTGTGCATCTCCCTGAGGTTGCGCAGGCTGGTATCCTTCTCGAGCCCTTGTTTCAGGACCCTGAGATAGTAGGACTTCGCGCTCGCTGGGACCTCGTCCGCACCCCAGGCCAGCGCCTCTCCATCCCGGCCCACGCGGTCTTCCATTTTCTGGAGGACTCGGGCGGCGAGCCTGCCGGGCCGCCTCGCGGCCCAGGCGGCAAGGCGAGCCTGGGTGCCACGCCCTGCAGATGAAGAGGCGATCCGAAAAACCGACTCCGAGCTGGAGCGGCCCCTGGATCTCGAGCGACGGCTGCGGTCTTCGTTCCGCCTCGGGGACCGCCACCGACGCCTCCCGGCCTCCTTGGCGCGAGCGGCTTCCGCCGGGTCGCTGGCGAATGCCAGACGCGGGGGAGAAGAATCTCGAGCGCGACCAGTCAGGCGCCCCTCCCCGCCAGCTCGGTTGCCGCCTGCAGGACGCCTGTCCCTCTGGTCGTGCTGCGATGCCGACCTCCGTCGTGTCCCCCTCCGTGCTCCCGAAAATGGTCACCACGATGCCGGTCGCCCTCTCGTACCAGCCCGTGCTCACGAAGATGCTCGCCACGATGCCGATCACCCTCACGTTCTCCTCTGTGGTCCCGAGGCTGTCCCCCGCGGCCTGCGCGGTCCCGGTCGGCCCTGACCCGGTCCCGTCGCCGATCGTCCTCCTCGCGCCCGTGCTCGCAGAGACGTGGACGACCATGCCGTGCGCCGCGGGGGTCACGATCGATGCTCGCCTCCAGCTCCCTGAGGCTCTCACGCATATCCCCGTCCTTTTCGCCCCCTCCTGAAAGTTGCGGCCTGTAGGAGTCTCCTGGCGGATGGTCCCCGCCGTCGTTACCGGGCCTCTTGGAGGCGAGGTCGGCGTCGATGCTGGTCAAGATCGTGGCAACCTTGTCATCCACCTCCTTCCGCGCCGCGCCCGATAGCCACCCCAGGGCAGAGATATCGGGCTCGCGGCTCAGATGATTCAGAAGGCGCCAACAAAATACTGGTGTCACCAATTCTTTCTTGAAGCTCGTCTCCCAATCATCCCCCTTCCCGGATGCTTGCCGGTATAAGCCCGGATTGGTGTACTTTCCTGACTCGAAAGCCCACCAGGAATAATGAGAATCACTCGTAGCAAGCAGAGTGGCTCGGAAAAGCCTCGCCTTCTCCGCCTTGTCCACGACGACGACGACGCCAGTGCCGAGGTCCTCCCACTCGGGGTCGAAGAGCTTCACCTCGAGCACGTCGCCTGCGTTCCAAAAGGCCCTCGAGGCGCACTCTGGGTCGAGGGTCGCATCAATCCAGGGGCCGACCCCGCTAGCCGGCCTGGCCATTTCCTGCTCCGCAGGAGTCCCCTGGAAGAAGCAAAGGGTACGAGATTATAGGTAGTATGGGGAAGCCTTCTCAAAACTTGGTGCTGCTCGAACCAACATAGGCTATGGAACGTGTTGGCACGCGCGCGTGAACAAATGAGCATGCAAGCATGGGAATAAGGGATGAAGCGGCCGTCGGCGAAACACTGGAGACTGGTGAAATTTAAGCGAGATGGAGGCGAGTCTGAACCGCGGCCCCTATCCAGCATGCTGTGAGCTTCAAAAGGCCTGTGCAAAAATATGGATGTGGGTTCTGCCCTTGCAAGGGCCTGCCTGGGGCGACCCCCCGGAGCCAGAGAAGAAACAAACGCAGGGGATGACCAAGCTCGCTATAGGCTTAAAGGGTACCCGAACCCATCTTCAGGGATGGAGCGGTTATCGGCTAAATACTGGAGGCTCTAGGGCCGCGTACAGGAGAGTCCGTCACCCCAGAAACAGGAGGAGGATGAGGAGGAAGCGGAGGGGGGCGGAAAGACTATAGAGGAGGGGGCGGCGGCTGAGACCAGGGGGCGAGTTCAGACACAGCTGCCCAAACACAGACGCACGCTCACACACACAGACACGCACAGACATACGCAGAACGAGACATGCACAGGCGCGGATTCCGCCCGCACACACGCAAGCACAGCACAAGCAAGTACAGACACGTGCGCAGATACGATGTACACAAAAGCAGGCACCCGGGGCACATCAAGAGGAGGTTCGCTTTCGCGGAATGCAGGCATCGACATGTCGCCCTCGGCGGAAGGTGGCGGACGGGCTGCGGAAAGCGGCGGAAGTAAAACAAGCGCGGCTGCGCTGGCGGAGGTCGGCGGAAAGTCTGTGGAAGCTGGCAGATATAAATGTTGACTGGCTCTCCAGGGTTGGCTGGCATTGTCAGCCATGGCTGAGAAGCGACCTACACGGCGCGTGGTGAGATTGCCGCGGGGGCGGCCTGGGCGACGACCTCGCCTGACGACGACGGTGGCGACGACGCTGACGAGGGCAAAGGGGCAAAGACGCCGACGACAAAGGGAGTAAGGCTTCACGTGAGCCTGGCAAGCGGGGAGGGCTGCCTGACAGTAATCAATGTGTGATTGTGAAACCGCGATTTTGAACAGAATCGCGAACAACTGGGCGGGGCAATGGGCTCCTCACCTTCCTTAAATGGTATGAAGAAACCAAGAGCTATAGCCAAACATGCCGGTTTCGCAGATAACTCCCTCAACAACATATAAATGGTTGTCCGGAGCGGTTTCCAGCGATGCCCTGTAAATTTCCTCAGGGGGCCGCTCTCTCCGGGTCATGTCCCTGGCATTTCTGTACGCACCGAACGCAACAACAGTGGGTTCACTTGTGTTTCAGCGTGCGCCGAACGCAGAAAGCATTGGTTTCGTTTGGCACATCCTCACCCGCGTGCTGATATAAGCTAAGGTTTCCGCTGTTCTCTGGTAGGTTTCCGAAATCCTCAGCGGTTCCATTCAATTCCTGCTGCATCGGGGAATTCTCATTGTTGCATCGGGCGTCCTCGCAGAGGCCAGCGTCCGTGACACTTGCGCTGCGTTCCCTTTAATAATGCGCTCGATCATGGAACCCTGATTGAAGCCACCATGCAGCTGCTGTGCCAAAGACCGCCGAAGAACGCAGAGTGACGTCAGAAGACAGCACAAGACCGATGGCCAACAAGGGGTCCATTATGGAATGCGTGATTGGGGGGAGTCGGCAGGATCCTCCAGTGTTCTGCGCTGGACAGGACACGCACGATCGCCATTTTCATTGATGCGCCCGCACGCCAAATTCGTGTCGTGACGACCCTTGCGTCGGTTTTCCGAAAGAGCGTGGATGGTTCAATCTTGAAGGATCGGCGGCCTCTCGATCGCCAGATCGTTCCACGCTGGCCGATTCAGGGCCCCTGGCGGCGTTCAGCCAACCATGGCGTGCTCCGAAAAGATTTTTGCGCGCCTGTGCGGGCGGAAGCAGGCGACGGCCTGGGCGCTCGGGGAGCACGTGACGCGCCGAGGGCGAGTCGGACCAGGCCGGGCTGCGCCTGCACGTCGCTGCTCTGCTGCAGAAGTCCGCCGACCCCTTGTGGGTCTCTAGGCGTGTGAGATAGTTCCCCCCCATAGCCCCCCCAGGGACCCTAAACCGGAGATTTGCCCCCCCCCGGCCCCGGGGCACCCACCGCCGAACGCGTCATGGGGGAGCAGAAGGTCCCAAAACAAGCCAAAAGCGCACAAACGGGCCCACGCGACGGTCCAACAAGGCCCCAAGAGGCCTCCAAGACGGCCCACGATGGCCCCGAGACGCCAAACGAGCGCTCCAAGACGCCCAAGATGGCCCAAAGACGAGCTAACAGGCCTCCTAAACGGCCCAAGAGGTCCCCACGAGGCCCCAATAGGCCTCCAAGATGCGTCCCAAGAGGGTCCCTAGACACAAAAATTGGCCCATTCCCTGCGTAAGACGTACCATTTTCACACATTCGCCTTCTGGGCTTTCCGATGCTCCCAGACGGCCCAAGAGGCCCCCAAGACCGCCCCAAGACGGCCCAAGACGCCTCCAAAAGGGCCCCAAGATAGCCCAAGAGGGCCCCAAGAGGGCCCAACAAGCGTCCAAGACGGCCCAAGAGGGCCCCGAAGACGGCCCCAAGAGCGCTCCAGGAGCGCTCCAAGTGGCCTCCAAAAGAGCTCAATATGGTCCCAGACGGTCCAAGAACGATCAAAGACACCGAAGATGGCCTCCAGACGGCCCAAGATGCTCCCAGGAGGGCCCAAGAGGCATCCAAGATGCGTCCCAAGAGGGCCTCTAAACGCAAAAATTGGCCCGTTCCCTTCGTCTAGCGTGCATTTTTCACACATTCGCCTTTGGGGCTTTCCGACGCTCCCAGACGGCCCAAGAGGCCCCCAAGACCGCCCCAAGACGGTCCAAGAAACCTCCAAGAGGGCCCCAAGACAGCCCAACAGGGCGCCAAAACGGCTCAAGAGGCGCCGAAGACGGCCCAAGAGAGCCCCGAAGACGGCCCCAAGAGCGCTCCAGGAGCGTTCCAAGTGGCTTCCAAGAGAGTTCAACATGGTCCCACACGGTCCAAATGCGATCAAAGACACCCGAGATGGCCTCCAGATGGCCCAAGACGCCCCCAAGAGGCCTCCAAGATGCGTCCCAAGAGGGTCCTTCGACGCGAATTGTTGCTCATTTCCTTCGTAAGACGTGCCTGTTTCACAAATTCGCCTCGTGGGCTTTCCGACGTTCCAAGACGGCCCAAGAGGCCCCGAAAACCGCCCAAAGACGGCCCAAGAGGCCCCCAAGACGGCCCCACGACGGCCCAAGATGGCCCCAAGACGGCCCAAGAGGTCCCCAAGACGGCCCAAGAAGGCTCCAAGACGGCACCAAAAGGGGCCCAAGAGGACAACCAAAAATTCAAAATCTAGCTTTCCGCCCCCACGAGCCCCAGAGGGGCCCCAAGAGTGCCCCAAGAGGCCGCCAGAGGCCCCCAAGAGGCCGCCAAGACGCCCCAATGAACCCCCAAGAGGCCCCCAGGAGGCTCCGAAAAGACCTTCGAACGCTTCCGTATTGCGAGCCGCCAAGCCAACTGCAATGCACTCCGCGCATACAGCCTTGTTCTTCCTCGCGACGTGCTCACTATCTTGCTCGGCGCTAATGTGCCGCTGCCGCGCGAACTGTTTCGTGCGCGCTGCGAACGTCGACAGCCTCTTCACCCGTTTCGACTCATCTGCCACATCTTTCGCGGTGATGCCTCGCTGATCACAGCTTCCACAAACTACTCTTGCTCCTTTC